CTTTTTCTATTGTGTATATCTGCTTCGTATCATAATCACCGCAACTGCTCATCGTTTTTTTTTATTTGTTCATCATTTGAGTTAATGTTTTTTTTTTATACTGCTTATAGTAGATTTGTTATATACTAATCCATATACAAAAAAAAAATAAATAGTTTTTTAGCACGCGGGAATAGTAGGTTCTAATTGAGATATCTTTTTAAATAAATAAATTTAATTCAAATTCATATGTAGTATAGTTATAATCAAACTTTGAAAATATTCTGTGTATACAAGCATCACCTTCAATCTTTCCGTTTTGAAGAGAAAAGATAAAACATACGTCAATTTTGTCACGAAACAGGAAGATTATGTATCATTAGAAGAAGAAGAAATGAAGGCACTATTTACTTTAGATACATGAAATAAAAAAATATTAACTTTTAATTATTAATTTCATTCGTTCTCTTTTATGATCTGTTTGTTTATGTGGCGTGACATTCTGAATTTTCTATTAATAGACCACGCTGATTGTTTCCATCTTGATTTATAGAGTAAAATACCTCTGTTTTGACATGAACTCAGAATGTGGATTATCGCATGCCAGATAGATTTGAATTTTAGATACAAAAAAAGCGTTCTTGGAGATATAAAACGTGTGTTGAAGATCTAGATATGAGTGAGTATTGTATTAAAATTCATCCTACACAATATACTTATATCCGCATCTATCAAATTTCTTTTGTTTTGAATTTTCTAGCTACCGCCATTGTGTATTTATATAGATAATATTCGAGTTTGATGCCTGTAGATATTTATATCGATTTATACATCGTATAGCTTATAATAATCCATTCATCTTTCTTTCCTCTACACACTCATCTGTCAACACGTTCTTATTAGTAAAGTATTCTTCTAAAAAGCGTTAAATTTCTATAAAAATGCTTTTACTAATTAGATAATAATTAACGTTTGTTGTATAATACATCTATACAACAAGGATATCCTCGATCAATTATCCTAAGAAAGATGATATGCTATTTTGCATAATAAGATGATTCTCAAGTGTTTGAATTAGCATTGATAATAATTTCTTTTCAAAGTTATGTAAAAGATGTCGTATTGAGAATGAAGAAAAATGAACCATAGATAGGAGAGGATGGTTTCTTAGCAATAGGCTCTTATAATGGTCGTCGTCAACAAACAATAAAGAAAAGAAAGAGTATGCCACTTGTGTAAAATCGAAACACTCTCGAGAACTCAACAACAAATAATGGCTACAGCTACATCACCACGCCGTGAAACGAATGCCAGATTACGGCAAAGCGGACCCTTAGTAACGGATGGTTTCACTGTAAAATCTCTTTTAAAAAATGCCAAAGTAAATTATTTTAAAATTTGATACTGTTATCAATAATAAAACAAAACCTTCATTATAGGTAAATGGTCCAGCACCAGCCGAAGCAACTCGTATTCGTAATAGCAAACCAACAGCCTTTCGTAAATTTTACGAGCGTGGAGATTTTCCAATAGCACTTGAACATGATACAAAAGGAAATAAAATCGCTTGGAAGGTATAAACATAAAAGATTTTTATTATCCAATAATTCTTATTATACTATATCAGGTGGAAATTGAAAAACTTGATTATCATCATTATTTACCATTATTCTTCGATGGTCTTTGTGAAATTGATCATCCATGGGATTTTTTTGCTCGTCAAGGTATTCATGATATGCTTGAACATGGCGGAAATAAAATTTTACCAGTTATTCCACAACTTATTGTACCAATTAAAAGTATAGTTACTTGATATTGTATTTCAACATACAAATATTTTTTGTATTCAGATGCATTAAATACACGAAATCACAAGGTTATTTGTACAACATTAAAAATTCTTCAACAATTAGTTACATCAGGTGATATGATTGGTGAAGCACTTGTCCCTTATTATCGTCAAATTTTACCAATATTTAATCTTTTTAAAAATTGGAATTGTAAGTTAATCGATTCCTCTATTAATAAAATTTATGTATATTTTTTTTTCACAGCAAATTTGGGTGATCATATTGAATATGGACAACAACGTCGTGAAAATCTAGGAGATTTAATAAATGAAACACTTGAAGCATTTGAACGACATGGTGGTGAAGATGCCTTCATTAATATCAAGTATATTGTTTTTTAAAAATAAAAATTTATTATTTATATAAACTTATTTTTAGATATATGATACCCACCTATGAATCAGTTATGCTTAATTAAATCATTATGGAATTTTCGAGCTTTATACTTTTTTTTTAGAAAAACTATTTCTTGGTATTTTTTTATGGACAATCATCTGTATTGTACTATATTTTTTTTTGTGGAGAGAATATAGTGAAAAAAGGAATAAATTGATCTTGACATGTTTATGCGAATAATCTCTCGGAAGTATTCAAGTATATTTAAAATAGAATTTGAAACTACTTTTATATTCTTCGCGAATGAAATGATTATACAATCATTTATGATAGAAGTTTTCTTTTGAGTAATTGTTTATTGCAAGAAAAACAAAGTGAGCTTCTTTTCTGTAGGGTATGAAAGATAATTACCGAGAAATAAACTTGAAAGGAAGAAAAAGTAACTACTTAAAAGATTATAATAACATAAATGATGAAGTAGATTGAAAGAAGAAGCCAAATAAAATTCTTTTTTTTTGTTATTAGTAGCATGACATTTGATCATGGGAAGAAGGATGAGTATCGATCGAAAATTTATATATATGTCCATGAGATTTTTTTTCCTTCTATATAACAATAATGATTTTATTAGTTGAAATTGTCATCTTAATTCAAAATTATAATATAAATATATTTGTCAATACTCAGTGGTTATACATATTATCTTCCAAAATAGACTTGTTGGAAGTTTCTATACTGATCTCTTTTTATTTTCTGTACAAAAAAAACAGATTATTCACATATATATATACAATTGTCATTGATAATACAAGCAAGAATTAAATTGGTGTATATAACAAATAATCTTGTAATTTAGTTGTTGGAGCAAGTGTTGCAATAGTTGATGCTTTGAGATTTTTTAAATGTTGTCGAATTAAAAATCGACATAGATGTTTTAATTCAAATACATGTTTTGTTAAATTTTCTATTTGATTTAAAGATGGTTGAATATCATCATTTGTTAATGGAATCATTGATGATATAGATAATGTTTGTAAATTTTGAATTTTATATTCTAATTTTGATATATGTCTCATACCGAGTGTTTTAATAAATAATGATATATAATCATTATTAAATTGATTTAATGTTGTCTTACTAGTTGAATCCAATCCATAATATTCATCATTTTTACAAACTAATAAATTTGTTAGAATTAAATAACTTAATAAATTTAAAAGATCAGTTAATACCATACGACGTATATGATATTTAAAAATAAGAAGTAAATGTGTATTAAGTAAAATAAAATCTTGTGAATTTATATAATTAATTTGTGTTGGTGATGTTAATGAGATAATATCTAATGAACGTAAACATGAACAATTTGATTCTAGTAGAAGACGAATTATTTCAAGTGATTTATTTGTTGTGATTTCAATAGCTACATATAAATAAGAATGACCAGTAGAATTACCTAATTAATATAGAAAAAAAAGAAAAAAAATTTATTTTATAGAGAAAAAGTTCGTTCAAAAAAACTAACCTTGATGTAAATCACAACCGTATCTGACAAGTAAATCAATCATATCAAAATTACTCATAAGTATAGCATGTTCGACATAGCTCATACCATATTGATCACGGTGATTAATATCAATATCAAAATTATTTAATAAACGTTTCATTGATTCAATGTTACAACGTGATGTTGCTATTTGCATTGAATTAATCAAACGATTTTGTTTACTTTTTTCATGTGATTGTATATAATGAACATTAGATTTTGTTTGAATTGAATTATTATTTACATATTCATTGGTTTGTCGTTTATTATTTTCTTTCGTTAATGATTCATTATCATTATTATTATTATTTATTGAACATTCAAGATTATAATTAATATTATTATCATCAGAATTATTGTCATTACTTGAACTATCATTGATAGTGTCGAATGTTTCACCAAAACGTATTTGCGATGAAGGTGTTGGATCAGATGAAAATATACGAGAAAATATTGATCGTGCACGAGTTAGCATCTAGAATAAATAGAGAATTATTTATTTTTAATCTATTAAAATTTCAATGAAAAAAACATAGACTCAATTCCTTATGTAAATAAATGAACGAACGAACGCATGTGTATACATACTATTTTTTTATTCACATTTCATGATCACATTGGTAAATACGGTATATTTTGTATTTATTTTATTCACGTCTTTGCATCTAAAAACGAAATATGAGACTCTCGTCACACATATAATACAGGAAAAAAACACGCATGCGTGCAACCAGGCGAGAATCAATGAGCCTTCTTCTTTTACTTAACGTCATTTTATGCTATTTCGCTTATTTTTTCTTTTTCCTTTTTTTCTTCTTTTCTTTTTTTTTCACAGTAGGATTAACTTTCCATCATTACCGATAGGCACTCAATTGTCTTTATTTCTTTTGTCTGATGTGTGTTGTTTTTTTTTTTAATTTTCAAGTTGTCTGCATGATCGTATTGGTAGGACACGAAAGAATAACAAAAGAAAATTTCTTCAATCAACATATATATTTTTCTTAACGATTATCTTGTCAATTTATTTAATAGACAATAAATTAAAGTTGTTAGAGATGAAAAGAGAAAAAATGTATTTTACTATATGATTACATTTACTTTTAATTGTATACGTTATAAATTGATTGTATCAATTGAAATACAAAGACATGCTACATAACAGAAAAACATAAATCAATAAATGTATCAGTTAACAAATCATAATCTTTTTTTGTTTTGATGTGATATATAATTATAGTCTATATGATGATTATTTTATAGTGTCTTGTAAAATTTCAATTTTTTTAGTAAAGGTTTATAAGTGGAGATATTGAATTTCAGCTATATTCATGCAGACATATGTCAATAATCATTCGCAATAGAACAAACTAAGATCGAGAGTATACATGAAATGCAGTTACACCTCAAATTGGACTCAGTGAATCAATTTATTTTAGACCTCACAATTTTAACTATTGATATAATGTGGCAAAAGCTGATTAAGTTCAAGTAGTTCAAAAAGAGACATTTTTCTGTTCATACTTAAACTGGAGCATTTGTTTTTATTATTTGTATCTTTTCGCAAGTACAAAAGATACCTAAAAATACTGTTGATCATCAAACTTAATGTAATAGATAAATATAGTTCCCCTCATAGTATAAGCAATTATCAAAGCTTCAGCAAAAATCACCAATACTTTAAATACATAAAACAGTATTGATTTAGATTTCAAGCACATAGTAGAAATCTTTATATTGAAGTATAAGTAAATCTCTTGAATATTCCAAGTAGAAATATTTCTATTATTATATAACTAATGAAACTTGCTATGATCATGATTAAGCTTATCTTTAATATTCATAAAATATTTTCTACTAAATTCAACAGAGTCAACAATGGAAAATCTGACAAATACATTTCTTCCTAGAATGATCTTATCTAATTTTTTAATTTTGCATAAATTATATTTTTTCAATTAATTTATATTATGACCGAATCGGCTGTTGATCTAGTTATAGATGTCTGGTAAATTGCGTACGTATTAGCGATTGACTCGTTTCACAATTGCCATAGTGATGGCTGTGACTGGAACAAATTTTTTTTCCAAAAGTCTGCGGTCGTGACTGAAAGTTCGTCACGCATACTAGAGTAGACATATGTTCAAAGGTTATTTCTATTGTTTATTCATTATTTAGTTGGTACAATGAATTTCTTGCCGAAAAATATAGAAATTCTTGGTATTTTTAATATCAATGCAACACATGTAGTTTATGAAAGAAGGTTATGAATCATTATAAATTAGAGAAAATTAGCGCAGGTCACGGTCAAAGAAGATGAGTATCATGACCATGATCAAAAAAACTTGGTCACGGTAATTCTTGTTATTCATTGTCCTTCTATTTTTAATAGAGAGACAGAAAATAATAATGATCTTCTTTTAATACTGAACTAAATTATCAGAATATATAGTTAGTGTATTAAACATTATTCATACTTATTATCCGAATAATATATACAATGTAGATTGCATTAAACAGTCTAGTCACCTGTTGTTTTGCTGATCAAATAGATAAAACTATATACAATCATCAGAACAAAATAATCCACCATATTAGCATATAAATCAAAAATTAATATAATTAAAATTCATATATTTCAGTACAATATAACGATAGTACTCAAACAAAAAAAAGAACATAAATTATGATTATATGTATTCAAAATAATAGGTTTCTTTTGAATTAAATTATACTATACAAATATTATAAAACTCTTTATAAATTGTAAAGATACATTTAATTCTTTGAAAAAACAAACAACTTGTATCAAAAGATTTATCTTAATAATTTATAATAAATATTTCTAAAAGATAAAACATTTAATAAAAAATATTCTATTCTCAGTTACTCAAAAATTCTTTCCTTAAATCTTGCTTAAATATTTACTGATTCAAAAAAAGTAAAAGAAATTAAAAAAAAACGAAAATGGATGCGTGAGAGAGAGAGATTTATATTTTTATATACAATTAACAATGATTTGAAAAATTAATGAAATCGATTTATATGCATAAGTAGTTTTTTTTGCCAAAAGTCATTGTGAATAATAATAGCATCACATTGAATTGAAAAATGTCTTATTGGAATATTAGTAAAACGTTTACCACCTGAATTATATCTAAAACGACAAAATTTTATTTTATATCTTTTGAAAATAAACAACACAACTACATACTTGTACCATTTGTCAACCATAACTTCTGTGATTATATTAGGTCCTACACCATATAATTTTTCGATAATATCTGTTTCAGGTATATACATATAAATGGCACGAAATTGTAAACGATGATCACGAAAGAGAACAATAAAATGTCGAGCTTCACATAATTCAATTTCCTATTAAAATGAAATTTTTTTTTTCGATATAATTAATTAAAAAGCATTAGATAATTTACTCGTGAAACAACTTCTCGTTGTCGTTCATTAGCTGGACCAGCAAGAACAACTTGTTTAAGTGAATTTAATATTGCTTGTTTATTTGTTTTCGTTGATAAATGTGTTTGACTACGAGCAAGATGTGATCCTTTGAAGAAAACAAAATAAGATTTAGTTATTTGAACAAAAATATTACCTGTTTGTATTGATAAAGCTATTGATGAAAGTGAACCAGTTAATGGTGAATCACCTACTAAATCAAATGGTTCATCAAGTAAATTAAATGATTGTTGTTGTTGTGAACATTTTTTATTATTCATCATAGGAATATTCATTAGACTACCACCAAATAAAGTCGTTGGTTTGGTAGTTTTACGTAATGGACCTGTTGCTTTTGAATGTAATGATGTAAATGAATCGTAATGTTCATTGATATTACATGTGCTTGCAGCACGATTCATTTTTGATCGAGATGCACTTGTTGATGCTAATACACTTGGTGATAATAAATCAAATCTAGTTATATGGGTTTTTGCTGTATGATCTAAATAATAATCTTATGTAATAATCTTATGAATGGATTCATTTTTTTTTTCGTTACTTGATTTTCTTCCACTAGTATTACTCATTAAATCAAATGTTGATTCACCATAACTAACATCATCAAATGACATAAATGATGTCATTGATGCTTTTCGTTTTAAACGATTACGAGTTCGTGCAGCTGTAAAGTAATAATCATGTGATGATGGTGGATCAGCTTCTAAACGTTTTTGTTCTTTATGTGCTTGTAAAATTGTTGTACGACGAAGATCATTTTCTTGTCGACGTTGTGCGGTATATTCTTCATAGAGACGATATTCATTCTGACGTTCAATGGCATCTGTTAATCGTTGATTTTTTTTTAACATTTGTTGTTCTCGTCGTTGAATTTGTCGACGTATAAGTGCTTCTTTTCTTGCTTGCATTCGTTCAATTTCTTGTGGCTAAAATTAAATAATAAAAATTAGTTTTCAAATTTATTATAAACGAATTAATTACTTACAGTTAATGGATCACCTACAGGTATAAATACTAGAGTATCACCGATAAATTGTGTTTCTTCAGGTTCTATAACTAAAAAGATATATATAGATAGATTAAAATCGAAACAAATATTTTTATCAGTGAACATCGTAATACTGTGCATCGAAAATTAGTTTGACATCTCAATGAACTTATTCAAAAGGTAACTTCAAACTGTTGCTTTGTTATAATTTCTTTCAAGTACATGACGAACATTATAACTATACATCTATGTCAACTCGTAATGTGTTTCTGTGAAGGTGACACGAGACATATACAATAAATATTACTATCAATTACAATCTACAACATTTTTTTCTTCTTACCGTGTGAATTCTTTTCCACTGGAATATCTTTTGATAATTCAATAGTTGTACGTCCATTTGAAAATTTCTTCAATTTATCTTTGATATCACTTAATTCAGCACTTAATTTATTTAATGTTGGTGTTGAATGATATTGATTTCGATTATTATTTGATAGATATGATATTCTTTCAGTATTTACTGTACGGCGCTTTTCAGTTACATTGGATGTTGATACACTTGATTTTATATGCATATCTAATATTTCACTACCAAATTGTTTTTTCCACAATTCTCGAAGAACTTGTATAATAGCAAGCATTTCTTCTCTTGATAATGGCTTACTTAAATCGATCATAGCTGAATTTTTTGTTGTTGCATCAGCAATATCCTCATTATTTGTTGTTTTTGTACCATCACTTAAACCAGAATCACTTGGTGATTCTTCCATAAGACATGGCAAAGTTAATGATTGATGATAAGGATAGACTGTTGGTAATTGAGGTTCATCATGTGGATGACAGACATTCTGAAGACAAAATTATACAAAAAAATTTTGTTCGTTCAAAAAATATTTACCTCAACTGATAAAGTTGCAGATGGTGGAGGAGGAGGCCAAGATTGGTCTCCTACTACAGCGGAAGAAATAGCTTGTTCTGGTATAGTAGAAGACGATGATACTGATGATGATGATGAAAGATGACGGCATAAACGTTGTTTTTTAGCATCAAGTAAAGCTCTAAGAAAAAAAAAGTAATAGGCCATTTATTATTGTACGCAATGTCTACAACAGACTTGTATGAAATAAGATATAGATCTTCGTTTTTTTTATATATGTCATTTTGCATGCGTATATTCAAAATCATATACTTAATCGATTTGAATATATAGAGTATCTAGTGTTCTTTATTTTTATTTCATGTCATTTGCTGTCTTAAGTTTTAATTTATGCCTATACATATCAATCGTCATGCAATGATGTCTACATTATGACGGATTCTTAATAAATTTTACGTTTGTTCTTTCTTTCGAATAATATACATTTTCTTCTTCTTGTTATGACGGACTTCATAGAGAGAGAGAGAGAATCAATCAGTCAATTGTCATTGATACTACTAGAACTATAGCAATGTCTATAAACGTTACAATTGAATGAGAATATATCGATAAACATCATTCAATCAAAACGAAATATTACATAACATATGAATTGAATTGGTAAATGTTCTTACCTGACATGATGTAATTTTTCTTGTAAATCTATATTATTATCCGATGAAGTAAATGAAGACATATGATTTAAAGCAGTATTACTAGCATTAAGACGTGATCTTGCTTGTGCTTGCCATGTTGTTGTCTGAGGTTTTACTGTTGATGATTTTATTGGTGAAAATATAGTTGGTAAAGTTCGACATGCTGCTGATGGTGTACGAAAATCACATAATGATGATGATAATGGTGAATATAATTCATTTGTTTTATTTTGATAAGTATTATGACTTTGAGCTATCCAACGTGATACATAACTTGTTGGTGTTGTTACTTCAGCATTTGTTGTATTAATAACAGTCGTCATTCTCATCCTCGTCGTTGTTCAGTTCGTTCTTGGATATGAATGAGATTCACTATCTAAATATAATATATAATATATAGACTAGAAATGTATAAGATTATGTTTGACCCTGGTTTAACAGTCGTATGTCAACATGTCAGTGACGCGTATGCAAGTAAGAATATATATATATATATGTGTATATATATGTATATATGTATGATTAAGAATAAAAAAAAAAAGATATAACATACATAGACACAAGATGAGTATAGGAGTTATTTGAATAAGATTAGCCTTAGGTGAGAATTCACATATATACAGAGAGTATATTAAGTTCATCGTTTGTTCAAACTCAAACGATTGACCACTAATTCATGTATACCTATGTATGAATTTGAAAGAATGATGCAATCGAAAACTTGATACTCATGTGAATGAAATAGAAATTGATGGAGAGTAGTCACTTTTTCTGTCTGTCTCTTCTTCTCTCTGTCTCTCTCTCTCCTTCTCTCTTATGTCTCTTTATTTCCTCATAGGAAACTTCGTTTATTCTTCAATGTTATATTGGCAAGGCTGCTGCTATTAACAAACGACTATTCAACAATAAACTAAATAGTAGTTCATGAAAAAAAACTGATGTCAGTCTAATTTACATTATAAGAAATATGTTAGTGAATATATATATATATATATACAGTGACAATCAAGGTAGATAGAAACAAAGACCTTGTTCTCTTTTCTCAATGATTTTCGATATGCATGTTGCTAAATGATGATACTTTTTTCCTTCTTCTTCTTTCGTTTTTTTTTTGTATTTTTTTGTCGGTAGACATCAATGTCGTAAAACTATACCCTACAGCTATATCACTCACAGAATGTAATAATAATGATATGAAATCTTCTACTTATCTCAATCATTGTCTTCGTTTCTATAGTTGATCGTTTTCAATTTGTAATACTTACATTTATCTTAAAGGTATTTAGTCTTTTGACAAAACGACAAAATAAAGAAGAAGGAAGAAGAAAAAGACAAAAGGGGGAAAAAGTCAGACGAGACTGTCTCATCACTTCAATAAGATCAATATTTCTTGTATATACGTATTTTTTTTTGTTTCGGGTCCGTGTATATACATACATGTATGTATACATATATCATGCATACATATGACCTTCTTCTTCTTCTTCTTTTGCGTTTTTTTTTGCTCGTTTTTAAAACTGAAGCAAATCGATATATTAGTTTGAATACGAAAAGAAGAGGGAACGAAGAAAAAAGCAGGTGCAAATACAGACGAAAGAAATTGACAACAAAAAATTTAGATGTTAATAATTATTGATCAAAAAAAAGAAAAAAAATCTTATTAAATATAAAAATTTTACGCAAAGAAACCGTGTGTTTTAACAAAATCTTTATAAATTAAATAATTGACTTATATTTACCTAATATATTCTATTCAATTGTATGAATTATCCGGGTTTTTTTGTATAATATAAGTATCGTAATTGGACAGGTTGTCGATTGATATTATTTAAATGCTTAGTATAGTTGTTATAATGAGGTCTAATCGAGAAGAGATATATAATAATAAAATGTATATGATGATTTGAGAATAATTTGTATATGTATGTATGAGTCTTCGTTCAAAATCAGACCACGTTCATACGTACTAAATGTACATATGAATAGAAGTAAAGAGACAGATCGATAGGTAGAATACACCCCTTATGATAATATGAACGGATGGTACAACTGAATGAACATCAAAGAGAAGAAAAAAGAAAGAAGAAGAAGAAGAAAAAAAACGAACAGAATGGTAAGATAAATAGAGCGAAGGTATATAACAGTATCTATAACGAACATAACCTTGTATCTTCGATTTAGGTTTCAACAAAAAACGAAATGAGTTGGAATCGCATACTTACATATGTGAATTAAAGACACATGCGTTTTAAGTTAAAAATAAGACGATATTACTTGCTAATAATAAAATGTTGATTATAAAACAAATGTAAGAAAAAACTAATAATTGTCTCATTTATAAATATAAGACAGACAAGTTAGAAACTTGATACATATTGATAAAAATCAATCATTTAATAGAAAATATTGCCAACTAGGTTTTTTTGTCTCTCACCAATTATTTGTTTCTAATGAGAATGTTTACACTAACATTGTATAACAATAGAAAGAAAGGTTTGTTTTGAATTATTCAATGTTGAATAATTCAGTTTTATACATATGAATAGAAAAATTTATTTGATATATTACAACATCTAATATTAGATAAAAATTCTTTTGTCAATCACAAATTGTTTTTTTTTTATGTGAATGACATTGGCATTTCAAATTTAAGTTTAAAATATTATTAGAGAGTATTAACATTTGAACAAATTTATGAGAGGTTATAAATCAAAGTTTTTTTTAATGATTCTTTTTCTTGTTGAAATAAAACTTGACTGAGTTTTAAAATATTGTTGACAATGTACCCTTGAATACTTTCGTTCTTCACACATTAACCATGAAGATTTAATGTATAGGGGCACAATAAAACATTCACACCTTTATTCTCAAGGTTTAATTTTAATATAATATTGCCATCAATTAATTGTTATACTTTTTCAAACAAAATTGTTTTCTATAACGAAATACTCATTATTACTAGAGAATATATTTCATTGTATTCATCTTATATTTAAAGGAAGATTAAATAATATGTATTAATGAGTTAAAATCATTCATATTTATTCGAGAAAGTATAGATCAATGTTCTGAATCTAATAAAAACAAAAATCTTTGCAGAGCGCATGATCAATTTTTTTTAAATACGCATTTTAATAGAACTTATATAATTATACCGATGTGTTATCTCATTTATTAATACAAAGCATAAAACACGTACAATCAATATTTGACACACGCAATTAACTTAGTACTCTTATCTCTTGATAGAGTCAAAATAGACTCGAATGTTTTTTTTCTTCATAAGGACATTCAACAATATATTTTGTACGATTATTCAAACAAATAAATATTAAAATTTGATAATCGTGAATTTAGCATTTTGAACATTTAAATCAAACAATGATATCTCTCATATAATGTCAATAGATAAAGAAATTTTGATAGCAATTGAAAATTTTCTGCTAATAGAGTATTGATTGCTTTGTTATCACTTATATAATAATACATCATTTTTTTGCAATACTGAAAAATCAGTGATCTTATATTTGATTTTGATGTTTTTTATTCTTTACTAGAAACTTCTCGTTCTATATTGATTTTACATTTTTTTTTCTTATTAAAAATTAAAATATAATCAAATAATATATAATTGACTTTTTGTTTTTTTTCTCATCTATAGTAGTAGATCGAACAATAAGCGCTAACTTCAATTGATTTATTATGATGACATACGACATCTGTGTCAACAATGTAGTTCTCGGATAATGAAAGGATAAGTTCATTGATCGAACCAATGGAAAAATCCAAAATAAAAAACAACAAACAATAAAGGAGACAAGAAGAAAAAAAAAGAAAAGGAAGAGTTCTTCATCTCATTGATCTTCTTTTAATTATTGTTTTCCATAACATCAGTTTTCTTTCCTATTGTTATATCAGTATTATTCATAGATTAAACAAAAAACAATATCACACATTGAATATATATATATATTATCGATAATATTCTTTTAATTGTTTATACAAACAACGTTTAATTTAATTTATTTATTTATTTATAAGATTATTGATACATAATGACATAACTTATTGACTTTTGAATTTTTCATCATATACAATAATATTTATTTATCTTGAAATATAAGATAGATTTGAGTTTTTTGAACATTTATTAAATGAAAACTAAATAATATGAAATATTTCAAATAGAAACCATATTTATTTATAAGTAAGTCACAATTATTAATGATATATCTAGAATATATTCAACATCAAATACTAGATTTTGTAATAGAGTTAATTCTATTGTATTGTAAGATATTTTATTACTAAAAACTAATCTTTTTATTTTTAGAATATTGATTAGCAATAAGATTTCGTCATGATTAATCATCATCATCAACTATTGAATCATCATTAGATTATTATTCTGTATGAATATGCTAATATAACATCAAACACATATATATATATTTTCAGTCTATCGCTTAAGTTACTATGTATATATATATATACCTTAAATTTAAAGACAACTGAACTAGTTTGAATACACACACACACCTACGCCTATCAGGTGATTTGATTTAAATCAGATGATTTCGAATAATATTTCAGACAAGTTTATTTATAGTTACTAAGAAACATTATTCAATTCATTCTATAAAAATTATCGATACATTTGTAAGTTTGTTTTCTTTTAATCTTAAAAGAAAACGTTGAGTTTTAATTGAATAATTCTTCAAGTATCTTATACCTTCGGGCAAGGTTTTTATGTTTTCAAAATAATCTTACATTTACATTCAGTATTTACATTTCATTCTTCTTTCTTCTTCTTCTTCTTCTGTTCTTTCCATATGTTAGAATAGTCATCAGACGAAAACACGTGAAATATTAGATGACGTAAAAAATATGCAAGGTTATTTTTCCGACGTCATTGACTAGAAAAAGAATGACAAATTATATTTAAAAATACTCAATAGTCACAAATTACACTATTTCAATATATAGATTCAATTAATTACATTTTCTTTTTGTTCGTTCTTGACTAGGATAAACCTGTTGATTGTTTATATGATAATTATTTTTTTTTCTCTTGTTATGCAAATAGTTAAACAATATCACAATAGTAAAATAGAAGTTAATTGAATAAAATGGATTTTCTGTTATTTTTTCTGTTTTCAGATGATGCAATCTTCATTAGGTAAATCAGGTGATGGTGGTGGTGGTAGTAATATCTATCCGTCCTCGTCAACTTTTCGTATGCGTAATAATTCATATTCAACAACACCATTCACAAATACTTATCAACCAACATCACCCTTATTTTGGTCGAATTATCCTCCAACATTACAAACTCCTCCACCGCCACCATTAACATTAAATAATGGTCAAACATCCATTCAACAATTTCTCAATTCTGATATGCTTGCATCTATGTCAAGAAGTAATTCACAGCCAGATTTAACAGCTACATTAAGTACAGTACCATCATCTGTTAATCAATTAACATCATCAAAATCTATGTCTGTATGTTCGGATGATTTATATATGGATATTGGTGGTTGTAATACTTCAAGTGTTGTTGATGATTTATTTCTTGGTATTGAAGCAGATTTTATTGGTACATCCGATTTATCGGATTTTTTTGAGAATGATTATTTTTCTGAATTAGATGATACACGTTCATTATTTCAACAACTTGCTAATTCTTCTAGTCCATTACAAGCACCACCACCACAACGTAGTGCACCACCATCACCTAAACCACAACCAAAAAATCGTACTACTACAAGTGGACGATCTTTACCAACAAAAGCATGGTCAAAAATGACAAGTGATGAACAAACATCTGCAACAGAAGATCTGACACGTATTATTAATGAACAACTTGGAAGACGTGAACAATTAGAAATTATAAGAATATTACAACCAGATGGACCACAATTATTACCACATCAAACAGAATTTATTTTAGATTTTTCTGGTATGAATGATGAAAAACATCGACGTATTAGAAATATAATAAAATTTAATTTAATTGGTGGTGGTGGTTCAATGAATGATGAAAGTGATGGTTATTCATCATTATCATCAAATAAAAGTGATCCATTATCTCAACGTATTGAAAAAGCATTAAAATTACGTCAACGTAAAGAACAACGACAAGCAGCTAAAGAACATCGTTCAGGTTTATTCAATGCTCAACATCATCAAGTACTAGAATTGACAAAATGCGATGAAGATATTGAAGTTGATATTCTATCGTAATATTTGTCAGTTTCTTCTTTTTTTTATATATTATTGTTGTTCGTTATTAACTGTCGATTTCTCTCTCTCGTTTTCCTTCTTTCCATACAATTGCAATTGTACTCGTTCTGTTTCTTTTCTCTCTCATTTATTTCTTTTTTTTCTCTGTTTGTACGTATGTCGTTTTGTTTTTTTTTCTTCTCTCTCTGTGCACTTGTTTGTGCGTGAGTGTATGTATGAGGATGGGTGACAAAAAGCAAAAGAAACTGAAGAAGTGACGTTTTTATTTACAGAAAAAAGGACATTTTAATTCATTTTTTATTTGACTTTAGTCATTTATTATTATTATTATTATTATTATTATTATTATTATTAAAGTAAACTGAACATTTCGGATACTTATATTAAAGTTAAAAATCTATATAACTGAAGATAATATATATATATGCATAACATCAGTGCTTGTATACAATATAATTAACAGAACATCTGCATTTACGCCATTAGGATTAACGGATGTGTATAATGATAAGAAAAATATATGATAGAGTAGCCTTTATCGTTTATGACAGTTCTTGTTTACAGAAACGAAGATCGTGCGGACCCAGACATATGAATTATTTCCAGACTATCCTCTGTAATATTAATTGAAAAAATTTATTAATGTATCGTAATTTACGATTTCAAATGAAATAAGATCGAAAAATGATTTATTGTCATAAGTTAACATGTGTCTATAGTAAAGGCCTTAAGAAAAAAATATGGAAAATTTTAACTAATGAGGCAAGATGTATTTTAGACATAATAATAACATTTTAAGATACATTATACAGAAATTAACGTGTAGAAAGGAAAAAATTATAAAATAACACTTTCTTTTGTCAAGTTGGTGTAAATGAGAAAGTATCTAAACATTCTATTAAATTTATCAGATCATCATGACCTTTTGTTCATCAAGATTGAATAACAACTGTTTTGCTCTTGTAATTAAATCTGTCATCACTTCAGTACATGTATATGATGATAACAATTCATTTCTTTATGAAGGATTTTTTTCTTAACGATACTGTATTCATCTGAGAAAATATTTCTTTTGAACATTTTAATAATTTAAATAATGAACAAAGTAATTTTTTGTAAATGAAATGAATCATGGCTATTATTTTTCCAAGAAAATACTCCAAATGTTAATGATAAAATAATTCAATTATCAATCGTTATTTAGGCGAAAAAATAAGATATAAATTATTTCTAAATGGCAATTTGATCTTATGAGTTAAACAACTGTTTCAACTAAAGTAAATCATAAGGGGAATTAAAACTAAGATTTAAGTTCTACATACTACATAATATTCGATTAATTTCGTCAAGGCTCTTACTTGATTATAGATATATAGTTTTTTTAGAAAATGGTGATTTCTGTGTCTAATCAAGGATATAATTGACGCTAGTAATATTAGATGTTTTTTATCTCTATTCTACAATAATTAATCTTTGTCGAGAAACGTTAGAATAACAAATAATCCGGCATTCTATAAATATCGACAAAGGTCCATCAGCTTAACATAGTGTATACGTTAGTCAAAATTGACTGTATTCAAAACTATTCCAAGAAAGCGCCAACGAAGACGACGAAGACGACAACGATGATGATGACGAAACGATGCGAAGATAGATTTTCTCTGTTGAATGATAGGTTGACAGGAATTTAACTAATCTTATGTAGTATTTACGGCGTCAAGCTTGGATCATGCAATGTCTACGTAGCATCAGTTATTTAGATATATAAAAGACTGACAACTCGTCATCTGATATTATGATAGATATGTTTCTCGTATACTTAATCGGAGAAAAAAAAATGAATACGATTCTCAGTATCATGATATTACCAATGAATATACAAAGGACACGAGTAGATATATCTATATATATATATTTATGTTGGTTTTTATTTGAATCTATAAAGATGACAAAAGGGTAAGATGAGTAGTAAGTTAAAATAGCGAGACTGTTCAAGGTCATTAGTTAACTATATAACATCATTGTAATATTAGCGAATAAGGCAAGGATAAGTATACACATCCTATGTTTGTTTATTTATTTCAACTTCATCTATCATGTATATAATGTTTATTTTTTTTTAATGTTAGTAAAGAAAAACTATAGTTACCAGATATCTGCTAATATTATTTATTTTCATTAAATTCTTTAAATAGGTTTTCTTTTATTAAAACATTTTCATAACGATATACATATATATATAGTAACAACATATTTGTATGTTTTTTTCAAGAGAATAGAAAGATTGATACTGTGTGTTATATGATTAAATGATGATAATGATGAAGGAAAAGCTTTGCTCCAAATATTATCACCAAACACTTTTTTTTTGTGCACCAATGTGTCTCGTATGCAATCAATCCATCCATCAAATATATCTATGAGGGACAAATCACCTGCCGCTTAACATTAGATGATAACGGTCGTATGAATAAGAAAGAGAAAAACGATACTCTGCTTTTTCTCGAAGCAAATCGTAGAGAAAGAGAGAAAAAAAGACACAAGACAACGAGAGATGACAACAATTCCAAGGACAAACTCACACTTAGATTCGATTAACTATACTATAGTGAGATGTTAATATGTATAATAAAAGATTATGTAGGCAGGTATGGTTCACTCCCATTTTTTGTTAGATAATTCTCGGCATATCAATCATCTTTCTCGATCTCTGTCTCTGTCTCTCTCTCTCTTCTTTTTTTTGTATGTATGTATATGTACATACAAACATACGTACATAGATAAATACATATATACATATATTTAGTTATGTTAGAGAACAAGTGATTATTTCTCTGGAAGGATCCATAGGACCGTGTGATTTTTTTTCTTTTTTCTACATTGTGTACACAATGACATTTGCTACGATCTGCTGTTGTTGTTGTTAGCATTATTATATTCACACTTTTTTTGCTTTCTTTGCTTCTTCTCATCTTCATATATCGTATAGATCAGACAAGTAGTCAGTCGAACCGTCTTGCCAGTGCCTATATTTACGCACACGTTTTTTCAAAATGGCAAAATCAACAAAGACTGACACTGGTGAACTCTTTTTAAGTCGTCTCTCGGAAACTTATATATGTCGTCCGGGTGATAATATACTTCTTGAATGTTATGTTCGTCATCAACGAGTTAAAGCAGTTGTTTGGTATGCAAATGGTGAATTAGTTGAAGTAAGAGGTTTTCGTATGTGGCATCGATATACACCAGCAACAGGTCTATGTGCCCTTTATATACGTTCTGTACTTTATACGGATGAAGGTTCATATTGTTGTCAAGCAATAGGTTTGGATAATACTACAGAATTATTACATGTTAAAATACAAATTGATAATTGTAAGATTTTATTTAAACAAAAAAATGTTTCCTTATTATAATAATATAAATATATTTAGCTGATAAAGCTTGGACTAAAATTCCTATTCTTCATATGGCTGGCCATATTTCGCCAGAAGGTGAGTAATTATAACATTTTTATTTTCCTTATATTAACATGAAAATTGGTTTTTATCTTAAAAACAACATATTATAGAAATTCTTTCGAGACCAATAATATAAAATATATATTTTTTGGATTATTATTATTATTATTATTTTCCAAAACTAAGATAAAGATATTCTAAATAAATAACGTTTTTGTATTGATTGTATAGATATATTTGATGACCTCCATGACATTCAGAAACCATTTTACAAAACGTTAGCATAGGCATGTTTCGTGCTACATTGATTTCTGTAATTTCTATCTTCGGCCTTCTTCTTTTTTTTCCAATACTTTTCTGGTATATTATGCTTTACTGATAATACATATTGTTAACAACAAACTCTCTTCGTCGTCGTCTTTCTCGTTTCTTCTAGGCAATAGTGGTAATGTGCTACGGCCTGACCATATATATCCTTATGTTATCCATGCGATGTCGCAGGAAATTGTATATTAGAGCTTGCTATGAAAGAACAACAAATGATGATGATTCTGCAAAAATCGAGAAAGAAAGAAAGAGAAAGAACGAGAAAAAGAAAAAGGAAAAGATATTTTCTTCTGCGACACTGCACTGAGCATATTTGTCGATTGATAACTAATTAACTAATCGAGTAGAAATAGAAAGAAGTAGATATCGATTATTATTTTTTTTCCTTCTATTACTAGATGAAGATGAATCAAAGACAATTTTTGTAACGCCTACGAATCAAAATACTATAATTAATGATAATATGTTTCCTATACATTGGTATGAACTACGTCTCGATCGAGCATTACCTGATCCAATTATAATTACTGAAAATCATCCATTACAACTATCATGTCGTATTGCTGGTCTTCATATTGAAAAATTTGAATGGTATAGAAATGGAGAATTAGTTTCTGTTTCAAATGATAGTCCACCATCATCATTGGTAACAAACACAATAACTAGTGATGTTGATCGTGGTCAATTTCATACATCTTATGATACATTACCAAATCATTTTATTCCTTTACTAACAGTTGATCGAACAACGAAACATCGTCATGAAGGTACATATGAATGTCATGCATCGAATGCTCATTATAGTGTGTCATCGTCATGTAATGTTATTATCAACGAAGTAGAACAAAAACAATTTTCAACGGATGAAGTAACGAAGCAAAAAAAATAAAATTTATCTATTTATTTTGTTAATTTTTCTTCTAGATAATTTCTTCTCAATCTATATTTGACACTAAAAAACGACCAGAAATTGATCGACAAGAACAATTATCTACAATTGATCGAAAACGTCTACGACTTGATGAATCAACAGTTGGTCATCAAATATTTCAATCTCATCAACCTTTATCAAATAGTCCTGTTGAATCACCATTTCGTACAATTGGTGATCAACTTGTACCATCAACTGAAGCTAAAAAAGATCAAACAAAAGCTATTAAATGGAGTGAACAAGTTCAAACATTTGCACGAGTAAATATTAAATTTATTAATTGAAAAACAAAAAACAGTATATTAATATTTAGAATGAATTACCAATGGAACTCAATACATTACTTGCACCAATACCAGAAGTAGTTCCATCATCATCATCAGATGACAGTACTAGTATATCAACTCGTAATGTTGAACATGCTCGTCATTCTCAAGCAATAATTTCAACATATCCAACAACAACAACAAGTCATAGTTCTGATATAGTCAATGAAACAATTGGCATGTGTCCAGTATTTTTTCAATTACTTCCATCAAATATTGAATGTGAAGAAGGTGAACGTTTATTACTTTCATGTCAAGTTATGGCTGGTACACAATGTCAAATAAAATGGTTAAATAATCAAATAATTATTTCAGAAAATGCATATCGTACACGACGTCATTATAATCCTGATACTGGTATATGTTTTATAATTATTGATCCAACTCAAACAACTGATTCTGGACTTTATCGTTTAATTATTTCAAATCAACATGGTCAAGTTGAATCAACATGTCAAGTTAAAATTTTAATTCGTCAATTACCACCTATGCCTGAAGATGATGTATCGACACATTTATATTTCATTAAGCCATTATCAACAATACCAATCACATGTCGTGATGGTGATACCATTCAATTAACATGTGTTGTCCATGGACGACGACCAATCTATATACGATGGTTTAAAGATGAACAACAAATATTTATCAATGATAAACAACAACATACACGTCAAATCAATTTTGATCCTTTAACTGGTAAATCAACATTAACTATAAATGATATTTATCCAACTGATAGTGGAATATACCGATGTGAGGCAAATAATGAACAAGAAAAAACAAGTACAAGTACGACTGTTGATGTTATACGTAAGTTTATAATTAATAAATATATAAATTAAAATTTTCTTCTTTTTATAGATTATCAATATGAAGTTGATAGTGATAGATCATCTTTATCATATGTATCTGGACCACCTAGTGATCATGAAGATGCAACAGAATCACAAATAACTTATGATAAAGCTGTATATGAAGAATCTCGTCGTCTTACTAAAGAATTAGATGCTCGTATTGCTGATTTGTCTAGTGGAAATATAACGACCATAGCAGATGGACAAAAACCTGGTAATATATATATATATTTTTGATTTAAAGATAAGAAAAATTAGTGAATAATAGTTTGTTAATATACTATTGATTTTTGTATAAAAAAGAAAACGATTAACATCTCATATTATACAAGATAATATATCTCTTACGCAATCGTATGTTATTTCGCGTATATCAATTGATTCTCTTATTTAATTTGTTATTATAAGGTTAAGGATAATATTATTGTGTAATTTTAATTTTTTCATTCGATATCAAATATTTAATTATTATTATTAATACAAAATTTTATAATGTTCAAATAATATCTAATTCTTATTATTATGGTTATCTATATTTTCATATGAATTTGGTTCTATTGATTTATAAATGAATGTTGGGCATCATTGTTGACATCATCCATAAGTAAAAAAGACAGTAATATCTATCTATCAACAATATTTGCCCTTAGTGCTCTTTCATAGAATAAATTATCCATGTATATTCTTTTGTTCCACGCCTACGTTTTTTCCACTATATGTACATATCGGTCATCATCGTCATTTCTCCTTCGTCTATCCAGTATCCACATTGACTAAAAGAATATAGAAAAGAATAAATCTCAGCAAACAATAATAGAATAAAAAGAAGAAGAAGAAGGAAATGCGTCTCAACCTATGACTCTGTAATACTTCTAGTAATATATCATCTTTTTTTTTCTTTTTTTTCCTTCGACAAATTTCTCGTCGTCGTCGTTGTTGATTTTCTTTCCTATGATTATATCATATGTACAGCTGCCTATACCAATGACCAAGTAGTAAACATGAAGTTTGTCTATCTGTTTTTCAAGCAATATTGGTAGATAATAGACAACATTTTCTTTTTTGTTGCCTCTTGCTGCGTTCTATTTTCATCATCATCATCGTACTTAGCTGTACTACTGTATTGGTATTTGTTTTTATTATTCAGTGGGGTGTCGCTTTTTTTTTCTATTTTTAATATTCTATTGAATTGAAAAAAGAATGGCATTCAACGACGAACGTATACCAAAATTTATTCATGTTGATGAAGAAGATAAATCGAAAGAAAATACATTAATATTATTTGGATTTGAACAAGAACTTAAATCTATTACTGTACGTCATGGAGATTCCGCACGATTTGAAGCTAAAATACGTTTATTATCAACAACTTCAAATATACAAATAGATCGTTCTTTATTAAATATTCAATGGCGTTTAAATGATATACCTATTATAAGTGATGAAAAATCACGTTATCGATTTGATTCATTACCTGGAGAAAATCTTTATTGGATGGATATTCGACAATGTGAACAAGAAGATGAAGGAGTCTATACGATTTCTATTAGTTATGATCATGAAAAATTTCATGATGAATCGAGTGCTTATCTATTTGTTGACAGTGAGTTTATTGTTTACTATAAAACTAGAATAAGTATTCATTGTTTTCGATAATCCATATGTTAGAGTACTTAAATAATTTTACAGCTGTAAAAATTCTTATAAATATATATTTTTTGTGTTTTCTAGGCTTTATTACTGAAAAGGAGGAGCAACCTGATCAAATAAGCCAACAAGATTTAAGTGCTGATGACACATGGCATTCAGCCACATCTCTTGATCGTTTTATTCCACCAACAATCACACGACCTCTTCAATCTATTTATCGATGTTCACCAAATAAAAAATTACAACTACAAGTTGAATATTTTTCTCCATCAGTTCAATGTCATTGTACATGGCAAGTACAATATTTAAATAGTATTGCACCACAACCAGTACAAGATAGTTCAATAATTAATACAAATTATTCATCAATATTAACTATTAATTCAATGACTTCACAATTACAAGGTACATATATATTTCATGTTGAAAATGTTTATGGACGTGCTATGACACAAACACATGTTATTGTTGACAAAGATTCTAGTGATGACGAGCTAGGTAAATTGAAATTTTAATAATTTCTTCAATATTTTCTTGTTCATATATTTAGAATATCAAGAAGTATCCGAAGAACCGATTATGAAAAAACAAACTGTCGATGACAATAGTCATCCACAGGTCATAGGTTCTCAAGGAAAAGGTACATCACTCCTTCATCAAATGCCATTAAATGAAACAAATGAATATGAAGAAATTAAAATTCATATTCCCGGTGGAGAAACAGACGATATTAATATTTATACTGAACATACTCCACCAACAACAATATTATCAACTTATAATGATCAATCTATACATATGCCTGTAAGATTTACTTCTTATTCTCTATAAATCACATTCAAAGTTTTTTGCTTGAATATTTTTTATAGATTACAAAAGATATATCAAATGACACATATGAAATTGAAGATACCATTACAACGATTACACTAAATAAATCACAATCAAAATCTGTAAGTTAAAAATCTAATAGAACATATTGATTTGATCGTAATTTGTTTATAGTATCTTTTTTTACTATACAATATATAAAAAATAACACTTTGATGAAAGCCTGTTTCTATCGCCTTAATTAGTTATATGATATGCTTCTTGATACTATAGTGCTAATTGATTTGTTTATCGAAGGTGTCAGACAATTGTATCATCAAGGTCTTTTATACATATATAGATAAAATCAAACAGAATATTTCAAATGTTTTCCTTTTAATTCAAATACATATTTTTTTTTCTAGGAAATTCAATCACAAAATGAAACTAAATTTATACAACCGTCAACATCAACGACTACAGAAACTGTAGAGACATATGGTTACGAGGACATTCCGCAAACGACTGCAGCAACTGTTGACAGATCATCAAGTCAATCAGCAAATAACTACATAACTACAACTAAAACAACTGAAATAATATCTTCGGCACCTGATTCATTCTATGAAGATCTTAGTAATGCTAATCAATGGTCGGATTTTATTCCTGAAGGTAATAATTTTTCATCCACATCATCATTTTTTTCATCTAGTCGAGCTTCACATATTTCGAATGCACTACCTTCAGTCAATGAGCATGAATACGAACAATATGTAGCACATCCTATAGATCAACGTTTAGCCATCGCTTCTTCCGGAATATCGGGACAAGCTCTTACCATAAGTCAACCTACCGTTGCTGCAGACTACCCATTACTTGATCAAACAGGTATGAGTATTAATCAATTTCGACGATCTGAAGCAGCACAGTCCTATGAATATAAATCATCAGCTGACATACAACAAGAATCAGGAGCACCAAAACGAACTACTGCAATGTCTACCGGTGCTCTTGATGAAGAACCTGTCGAAACATCAGTCAATATCAGTCATATGCATCAACAACAATCATCAGGTACTAAACAAAAAGCTACATCAATTTCACAACCAAGTGTTACTACTGATTTTCCAATACTTGATGAAACAGCTGTTCAACTAGATCAGCTTCAACGATCTGGATTACCACAATCAGTTACCTATAAACCATCTACTAATGTTCAACAATCAGAACGTTCTATTTTAACAACAACTTCTGTTTTTGGTCAAGAAGAACCAGCAGAAGAAACATCAATTACTTTTAATCAATTTACACAACCTATTCTGAAAACTTCTTCAGAATACAGCTTGTCGCAACAACAAGCATCATCTACCTTACAGCCAAGTACTACTATTGACTTACCTATTTTAGATGAAACTACTATTCATAAAACTACTTTACCTTTAGATCAAGAAGAACTTACTCACTTACCTCAATCATTTGAAGCAACAAAACAACACGCAACATCAGTCATCCAACCAAGTGCATCTACTGACTTACCTATTTTAGATGAAACTTCTGTTCATCTAAGTCAACTACACCGTTCAGATGTTCCACAGAAGATTCAATATAAAGCTCCTACTGATATACAACCATCACTCGGTACTATTCATAAAACAACTTCAGCTCTTAGTCAAGAAGAATCTTCACAAGATACATCAGTTAATGTTGGCCAACTACGTCAACCATCTGCTACAGGTTACTCTACAACTGATGTAACTAAACAACAAATATCTTCGATTATACAGCCAACTACTGTTACTGATATATCTACATTAGATGAAACTACTATTCATCTTGATCGTTTACCTACTACTGATACTACTCATAAGACAACTAAATCTCTTAGTCAAGAAAAATCTTCACAAGTATCATCCGTCATACAACCAAGTACTGCAACAGATTTACCAATCTTAGATGAAACTGCCGTTCATCTTGGTCAAATTCAACGTACTGATACACCACAAGCATTTCAATATAAAGCTCCTGCTGGTATTCAGCCATCAGCTGGTACCATACACAAAACAGCTTCAACTCTTAGTCAAGAAGATTCTTCACAAGAAACATCAGTTAATGTTGGTCAACTACGTCAACCATCTGCTAAAGGTGTACCTACACCTGAAGTAAAACCAAGTACTGTTACTGACTTACCTGTCTCAGATGAAACTACTACTCTTAAGACTACTTCAGCTCTTATTCAAGAAGAATCTTCACAAGGCACATCGATTAATATTACTCAACTACCTCAACCATCTGTTAAAGGTTTACCTACAACTGAATTACCAAGAC